GCTGTAACCTATGCCGTTACGGTGACAGATGTATAATAATAGGAGTTAACATTTGTCTATCTATCATTTGTATATACACATGTTTTGTATATTAATAGAGCTGTGCTAAACTATAACAGAATGTATGGTATTCATCCTTTGAAAATGCAATGTTGGTTGCAGTCTATATCTCTTTTCTGTTGTTATAGATTGAAAGTGTAACTTAAAACACAGTGTTGGGAAAATCCTTTGGAAGTCTTTGGATGTTTTGAGGTCTGGAAAGTCTTTGAGTTGTCTTTAAATTTCTTCATAGTTATTAATTCATTTTAGAAAGGCCGGTTTTCTCTAGGGAACTACCATATCCTCAGAACTTTGATGAGCTTTGGTGATGATGTTTGCCTTAATTATATTGTAAGGATCAAAATGTCTTGGGGGGGAAAAATGCAAGAAAGTTTATGGAAAAGTCTTTGAAATTATTTGGCTCTTGGTGCTATGGACCCTGGATTAGCACTGTGCACTGTACAACTTGTGTTAGAGCTGTGGGCCTTTTGGTGTACCCAGCCTCTCAGGGTTTAAATTGCAACTTAGGCTGTTGACAGTTTCTCTGGCCTAATGGTTTGTTTCAACTATTGATTTAATCAAATACTGCAATGTGTTTGTGAAATGAAAAAGGCATTTCAAGCAAGAGTCTCACTGCAGCCACATTGCAGCATTATTTTAGCTGAAAAAATAACCATTAGCCAGAGGGACTGTCCACTTCAAATCTTATAGAGGAGTATACAATACTAGGTGTACATGATTTCACTCTTTGAAAATGAATGAAAGATATTGAAAATGAAAAATATTCTTTTGCAAATATTTCTACCAATGCAAGCTGTTTGTAGTTGATGACTGCTTTGCTGAGAATCAACACTATGTGCATGCCAACACAAGTTGAATCATCTTTACCTGTGATGTCCAAACTGGTCATTTAACAGGTGTATTTAGTACCGGTATATGCAAGTAATATAGCAAAGTTAATTTCTCTATTAGTGAAAAAATGTGATTTATAGCATTCTTCATAAAAGTTTGCAGACACCTTGAGAATTAATGTTGATGATTTCACTCTTTGAAAACAAAGTTTTAGCAAATTTTTTTTCGCAGTAACCCGATTTACGCAGTAACTCGGCTTTCATCATTTATACACTCCCATTTCATTTATTTTATTGAAAAACCAACAAAAAATAAACAAGGGACTATATGCAAGTCTATATGTAACCCAGC